TAAAAAAGGAATTTTTTTGTTAACGTCTCGAGCAAAAACAATATAGGTTTCAATGGCATGTGATACATCATTTTAAAGCTTTTGAGTTTACGCACGCAACTGTCACATTTTGGTGAGTGACGGGCGCTGACGCGTCCGTCACGCACCGCCACCATTTGTTTTCACCATTGTGAAAGCAATAGGCCCTTACCCCGTTCGGGGCTCGGGCCTAAAAAGGAATTTTTTTGTTAACGTCTCGAGCAAAAACAATATAGGTTTCAATGGCACGTGATACATCATTTTAAAGCTTTTGAGTTTACGCACGCAACTGTCACATTTTGGTGAGTGACGGGCGCTGACGCGTCCGTCACGCACCGCCACCATTTGTTTTCACCATTGTGAAAGCAATAGGCCCTTACCCCGTTCGGGGCTCGGGCCTAATAAATAAATAAAAAAGGAATTTTTTTTTCGACGTCTCGAGCAAAAACAATATAGGTTTCAATGGCATGTGATACATCATTTTAAAGCTTTTGAGTTTACGCATGCAACCGTCACATTTTGGTGAGTGACGGGCGCTGACGCGTCCGTCACGCACCGCCACCATTTGTTTTCACCATTGTGAAAGCAATAGGCCCTTACCCCGTTCGGGGCTCGGGCCTAATAAATTAAAGCCGCAAGCGGCGTCGAACGGCCCTCGCCGCACCGCGCGACTCACCGCACCGCGCGACCCCCGCACCGCGCGAATCCCCGCACCGCGCGCACCACTCCGTTCCACGCCGCCCCGCACCCAGCCACCCCGCACCAAGCCACCCCGCACCACGCCGTCCCGCATCACGCCGCCCCGCACCAAGCCGCAACACACTGCTCCACAACGCCCCGCACTACACCGCACCACACCATACCACGCAGCACCGCGCATAGGAGGTGGCGCCAGGGCCGGAGTGGGACAACATTTCAGGCCGGGAGCTTTTCATCCATTCAGGCCAAGCAAGGTTCTAAATTTGGGTTTTTGTCATTGTATTTTGATGTTCTTTTAATAGTTTTAAGATTGACTGTCAAAACTTTTGTTTTCTTTATTTTTTTTTATATTGACTGTTTATATAATCTCGGACGTTTAAGGATTGTTGTACGTTGCTTAGCAACGTAACGTTTATGGAGTTTAGTGAGAATAAAGACACACACACACACACAATGAACTAAGTGTTCATTAGTGTATAACTATAACAAGCTAATCAATTATTGTTAAAAAAAGTAGTAAGGTAAAATCACATCGTTACAGCTCATATAAAAGGAAAAATAAAAACGTGTATGAACCATCAGTTGGAGAGACCACTCATTTCAACCGGGGAAGCTACACTGGGTGCACTGCTAGGCTGGGGAAGCTACACTGGGTGCACTGATAGGCTGGCCGCTGGCCTGGCTGTGTAGCCGACGTGTGACGTCACATTTGTTTAATTTTGCTCTGGCCCAATGACAGTAAAGCTTTGGCCAGTGTTGTGCCAGTTCACAGCTTTTCTGAACTAGTTCAAGTTCAGTTCATACATGCTCAAAGTGAACAGTTCACGTTCGAAGTTCTCAATTTTGATTCTGAACTATATCTCGTCCAATGCAGACGAGATTTACATGGGTTTCAATGGGAACTGAGTTGTCCCATCTCTGCTCATAAGTACAAACTGTAATGCGCTGCAGAACGTGTGTCTATACTTTATGTCAAATGTAAACGGCCCTGTGTCACTGACTTACCCCTGTGTTTTCATCACGGCACATGTGAGTCCAACAACCAATGAATATCACTAGCATATAGCGCTGCACCGCAAGTACACTGAGTCGGGGTGCGTTCACAGACGGTGGAAACCGTAGGAATTTTTAGTTTTCGGCGGAAACAGTGCGGAGAATACAGGAGGGAGGAACTTTCTCTCGTTGCGTTTCAAAAGAGAAAACAGATTTCACTCAGTTTTAAATGGAAAACAAATTGTCTGCCGTTCATGACACATAATATGAACTAATTCACGTTCAAGTTCTTTATTAAAAAATGTGTTGCGTTCAGTTCAACGTTCACGAAAAAATGAGCGTGTTCAATGAACGCGTTCTTTTGAACTCGTTCACGCACACCACTGAATTTGGCCTGGGCCTTGCTCATTGGACCAGGCCACCAGGCAGGGTAGGAGTTTGCAAAGAGGATGAAATTAAATTAAAAAAAGTTCTTTTAATAGTTTTAAGATTGACTGTCAAAACTTTTGTTTTCTTTATTTTTTTTTTATATTGACGGTTTATATAATCTCGGACGTTTAAGGATTGTTGTACGTTGCTTAGCAACGTAACGTTTATGGAGTTTAGTGAGAATAAAGACACACACACACACAATGAACTAAGTGTTCATTAGTGTATAACTATAACAAGCTAATCAATTATTGTTAAAAAAGTAGTAAGGTAAAATCACATCGTTACAGCTCATATAAAAGGAAAAATAAAAACGTGTATGAACCATCAGTTGGAGAGACCACTCATTTCAACCGGGGAAGCTACACTGGGTGCACTGCTAGGCTGGGGAAGCTACACTGGGTGCACTGCTAGGCTGGCCGCTGGCCTGGCTGTGTAGCCGACGTGTGACGTCACATTTGTTTAATTTTGCTCTGGCCCAATGACAGTAAAGCTTTGGCCAGTGTTGTGCCAGTTCACAGCTTTTCTGAACTAGTTCAAGTTCAGTTCATACATGCTCAAAGTGAACAGTTCACGTTCGAAGTTCTCAATTTTGATTCTGAACTATATCTCGTCCAATGCAGACGAGATTTACATGGGTTTCAATGGGAACTGAGTTGTCCCATCTCTGCTCATAAGTACAAACTGTAATGCGCTGCAGAACGTGTGTCTATACTTTATGTCAAATGTAAACGGCCCTGTGTCACTGACTTACCCCTGTGTTTTCATCACGGCACATGTGAGTCCAACAACCAATGAATAGCACTAGCATATAGCGCCGCACCGCAAGTACACTGAGTCGGGATGCGTTCACAGACGGTGGAAACCGTAGGAATTTTTAGTTTTCGGCGGAAACAGTGCGGAGAATACAGGAGGGAGGAACTTTCTCTCGTTGCGTTTCAAAAGAGAAAACAGATTTCACTCAGTTTTAAATGGAAAACAAATTGTCTGCCGTTCATGACACATAATATGAACTAATTCACGTTCAAGTTCTTTATTAAAAAATGTGTTGCGTTCAGTTCAACGTTCACGAAAAAATGAGCGTGTTCAATGAACGCGTTCTTTTGAACTCGTTCACGCACAACACTGAATTTGGCCTGGGCCTTGCTCATTGGACCAGGCCACCAGGCAGGGTAGGAGTTTGCAAAGAGGATGAAATTAAATTAAAAGAAAAAAAAAAAAAAAGACCGTGATGATAGGGCAGGCCCAGGCCACTTTGACACGCAGGCCACCGGGAGATCTCCCGATGCTCCCGATGGCCAGTCCGGGCCAGACAGTGTGGTAAGATGAGGCTACAGCAAGAGCTCACTGGCCTTGGATTTGAATGCATTTCATCCAATTAGGACGCAGGACGGGTGAACATGGTCCAGTCGAATCATTCTCTCCACAATTGTAAATATACTCACCTTAATACAACACAATGCCATACTAGCTTATTTGAAATATCTCTAGGCAAGGCAAGGCAAGGCAATTATTTGTATAGCACAATTCATACACAAGACAAAATAGCATTAAAATCATAAATCATCACAGTACACTCTAAATACTTTCTCAACCCGATTTTTAAAAAATCTGTTATTGCTAAGTGCTCACTTCCGCCAAACCATTAGTCAAAGCTTGAGAAACCCAATGGTTACATAATTTGTTCTAATATTCGGGATATTATCGGTTTCTGTAAGCGTTTGAATCAGGGGTGACTCACAAAACTTGTGCATGGTGGCTTTGCTAAAATCTGTTATTTTCTTTTGAAAATAATAGTTTGGAGGCTATGAATAATAACACACGTGTTTCAAACACACAATCTGCTGCTGCTATTAACTCACACAGGCTCATTCTCTGCATGACTGCGTCCTCACACGTAATATGTGTCAAAATGATTGACGGACTAAACGAAGGCACACGTCAAAGCTGGAAGTAATTACATTTTTTTCCCCTTATACATAGTTGTATTAGTGGTAATAGTCTTTTAAACCAAGGCACAAATCCTTTTACTCTATGTTTAACTACTACTACTTTGATGTAAAAAGTGTGACAAATTAAAACATTTCAAAGCATCCATTCAATAATAGAAATAAAATAGATCTAGTCTCAGGTGGAAACCAATGACAATATGTCAATATTGACTCCAGGCCTTTCTGTGTGTAGTTTGCATGTTCTCTCTGTGTATGTGTGGGTTTCCTCTAGGCGCTCCGGTTTCCTCTAACACTAAAGACACATACCATAGGTCTGTAAGGTATGTGGAAGTCGCTAAATATATACAGATTACTTACTTACTTACTGCATTAGTACATGAAATGAGAGATATTGATTCTATGCCATTTCAGATTTCAAAAATCTCTTTTCAAATGAATTAAAAATGGATTAGATTTTACGCCACTATGTTTTTATTAATAATATCACTTTAACAAACATCAACATTTTAGGAGATTAACCAGGGCAATACATTCAGGGGTATCTGACTTTTAAATCACCATCATGTAAACTATGTTATAAAATCCATCTAACTCTCTCAAAACAGTTTCTATCACAATAGTTTTCACATTGATGCAAGTTTTTTTAGACAGAAAATTGAAAAAGAGAAGACCGTCTTAGCCCAAGGCATCAAATAGTGACTCAAAGGGCTCTAGTAGACAAAGGCATGTTGTTGTCTGATATATAATCTATCCACTTACTTTTACAAGACTGTTTCAGTTGGCAAAAACAGAGTGACTTACTTAAGTCAGGTACCTCAACTTTAACAAAGGCTGATCAAGAGTCAGAGTAAGAGAGGCCAAAATAGCGTGCCAGCAAAAACCCAATATTAAATTAAATTAGAATTTAAATTAAATCACGTTTCCTAAAAAGGCACCAAACCAGAAAACAAACAAATAGTATGAACTTTTTGTACAAATTTACTAAAAATCCTCATTAGCATTCCATGGGACACCATAAGAAGCCTGGATTCCACTCTCAACACCACTTTGAAAACCAATTGACGCTGAAGACACTCACCTTGAGGCTGTCTGCTCGGGTGAAAAATCTGCAAATCAAATGGCTGAGCACTCGTCTTCTGGATGACGGTGACATTTTGGCCCGTCCACTTGTTCGCCCGGGCCAAAGTGTTGGTTCTCCAGTCGGTCCAGTAGACATTCCCTCCAAATAGTGACACTGCGAACGGGTGAGAGAGGTACTCATGGCCCCTGAGGATCTCGATGACTCCGGTGCCGTCGTAAAGTGCAGAGAAAATGGCGTCAGACCTGTGTGAAAAGACACTTGAATTTAAAAAACATGAATTCAATTATTACTCCTGTGTTTTCTTGTTTTGTACAGGCACTTTGAGTTGCCTTGGGTAGGATCTGAGCAACGCAAATAAACTTAACTTGTCTTGCCTTAAGACGATAACAATGTTTATTATATGACTTGGACCGTACGCGCGCTCTGATTGGCTGATTACCGGTCTGATATTTTCCCATCTCGGACCGTTACCATGACAATTGGTCCGAACAGCGCGTTTCACATTTGATATTTTTCCTCGGACCGTTACCATGACAATCTGTCCGCAGCGCGTATCACACAAAACCAAGTCGGACATGAATAAACTTCACAAATATCTCAAAAGCATTGGTAAAGACACAGACAAGAGTCATATAATAAAACATTTATTAACCTCGCTTGCTCGGTCTGTACAGAGAAATATCAGACCTTGGCCTTTTTGCACAGACCTCACCACGGCTCAGTCTGTACATTAAGGCCGCGGTCTGATATTTCTCCATACAGACCTTGCGCTCGGTTAATAAGCCGTTAATATACACACATCGTAATTATTTTTTTTTTTAAATGCTAAAATATAAATACACACAACTAAAGTAATTACAATGCTTCTAATTCTTTACGTATTTACGCTGGATGAGTTTACTAATCTTCACATTTGTATGTTTATATTTCTTTTCAAAGTGGGATCATTTTGATGTTACGTATTTCAGAAGCGTGTTTTTTCTTTTTTCACCACAAAAAAACACAATTTATGTTGAGTTTTTGAACCACACAAACAACAACATGTCAGAAACATTTGTCTCCTTTAACTCGTACTTAATAATAATAATAATAATGCATCACTTTTATATAGCGCTTTTTTGGACACTCAAAGACGCTTCACATGTCATTATTCATTCACTTCATACACAGCAGTGATAAACTACTACTTTAGCCACAGCTGCCCTGGGGCACACTGACAGAAGCGAGGCAACCAGTACCCACTAAGCAAGCCGACGTTGAATCAACGTAATTTGAACGTCGTTGTCCGACGTAGAATATAGGTCACTGGTGGGTGCAGAATGAAAGTTTTCTCGACGTCGTTTCCCGACGTCACTTCAACCTCCAAATGTTACGTTGATGGCACGTCAATTCAAGGTTTGAATGTGGTACAGAACCGGTCGGGTCTGACGTCCTATCAACGTCTCGTATGACCAAAATATTGACGTTTATATGACGTTCGTTTTCAGTCGTTCCCACTAAGCAAGCAGATGTCAAAACTATGTCATTTCAACGTCATCTGGACGTTCATTCAAGGTTGCAATGTGGTACAGAACCGGTCGGGTCCGACGTCCTATCAACGTCTTATATGACCAAAATATTGCCTTCATATGACGTTCGTTTTCCGTTGTTCCCACTAAGCAAGCAGATGTCAAAACTATGTCATTTCAACGTCATCTGGACGTTATCTGGACGTTCAAATGACGTCGCGGCCACTTCATTCAAGGTTGCAATGTGGTACAGAACCGGTCGGGTCCGACGTCCTCTCGACGTCTTATATGACCAAAATATTGACGTTTATATGACGTCCATTTACAGTCCTATTGACATACTTAACCTCTGCAGAATCACTCACTGGTCGAGACATACTTTTTGCAATAGGCAAGGCAAGTTTATTTGTATAGCACAGTCAAAACAAAAGGAAACTCAAAGCACTGAACAAAAGATAGAAACAATCAAACAAGGCATTACAATTATAAATATTGACTGTAAATTAAAAAGAAACAAATAAAATCTCTCATAAAATCTCTCATAAAATCTCTCAGTTGAAGCAGAAACAGAAGTGTTTTAAACCTGGATTTTAACATTGTCAAAGAAGAAGCCTGTCTCACATTTCCAGGAAGACCGTTCCAGATTTTAGCCTTGTGAATCTGAAATGCAGCTTTATCATGTTTAGTTCTGACTCTGGGCAATAAACGATAAACACAGCATTCAAAAATCATTAGAACAACTTTTGTAGAAGGATATCAGTCATTATTGCAAATGGAGCTGCATTAAAAATCATGTTTCTCTACATCAAAGTACAAGTTAAACCACACAGGGCACAGTGTTATGAACACTACTGTACTGAACAGTTCATGCCAAAGTAAAAAAACATGATTGTAGCGCCTATGTTTGGATCAGTATTAAAACAGGCACAAGCTACACTCTAGGTTCCCCAGATGTAAAAACACAATCTGAAAGGCAGAAGAATGCATTTATTGAATGTTGAGGTTCCAACATGTGTCCTCTCTTGGTCTTCAGTCTCGTTATAAGGTCCAAGCACAGCACCTGAAAATGTGGAACATGTTCAGTTTCAACATAATGTGGCAAAGTGATATAACAACACATAACTTTCTATTAATGCCTCAAACCACTCGATCCATCACTATGTGATACAAACCTTGGCACTGCACTAGCTCGAGACACTGGAAGACACTCCGTCTGAGAAACTTGGGATAAGGCTTTGGTCATTGGAGTAATTCCATGTAAAAAACAATTGCAAATGTGCATTTGTTTTGCACATGGACACAAATGAGCCCTGAAAGCTACTTACCCTGTATTACTCTACACATGTTGCATTTCCGAGGGGGCATTTTCCCCTTGTTGCTCTTTTCGCTCATCTTGAGTGAGTTGCTGAACAATCTGAGAAAAAGATAGATGTTTTCAAAGAGAATACACCAAATAATGGTTTATTCTAAAAACAACATAATAATACAGAACAACAATCAATGTGTGAGAGTGTGATTCTTACCTTTGAACACCTTCAACACAGTCTGACACCTGTAAGACTCAAACACACATGACACATTAGGAATACACACAGAACATTAGTTATTGCAACAATCATGAAATTATACTCTATGGATTTCACAATAATTGACTGCATTAGCAAAGGTAAATGTATTTTAACTAACATATGGCTGGTTTTAAAGTTTATAAGAAAAAGTAAGAAATTGAATAGAGTTGCAAGCGCTAGTTACTGTAGCTTGCTACCAGCAGATGAATGGATATTTAATATTTGCAGCTAACAATAACAAAAATAACAACTGTAGTGGCTCATTTAAACAGCCACAGTGAGAAGAAGTGAAAGTCTCTGACATTGAAGACCTGGGAAGACATTAAATCAATTTATTAAACAAAGCAATACATGAACATTAAACTCTCTTTCTGCAGCAGGTAACATCTGTGTGCTCCTATGGTCCCACATGGTCCCACACCTGAACTCAACTCCAACTGATGACATCACATGTGTCTAAATGATGGGAGTGTCCCAAATAGTAAAGCTGATCTCCCTGTTTTTAAACTTAGTTTACTAAGTACTGTTGTCTTTTTGCAGTTTATAAACCATTGTGAAATATACAGTAACTTTACATTTTAGAATTGAATTATTATTTTAAAACTCAAGAATCTTAACTTTTTTTAACACATACTTTGTTGGACAGTCTAACCTAAGAATTCTAATGTGTTAAAAATAGTTTGAAATATGAAAAACAATATCATATTTTAAACTTTAACTTAAAAACAAAAAAAAGGTGTCTCCCTTTCAGCTGAGCAGTGCCAGCCGTTATTATTATAGATTCATGCACTGGCAATTCAAAATACAGATAATATACAAAATATACTTAACAAAATCCACGTATACGTGAGAAAACAACTTACTTTCTGTCTCCAACTCTTTTCAATGTGGAAATGATACATCTATATCTAAAAACTGTGCAGACTGTGTACTTACTAGAGAGGATGATTCCAAGTAAATAAAGCAGGGCAGCGACAGAGGTACAGATTCAACGTCATATCAACGTCTGGGAAGACATTGCTTTACGTCCAGATGCACACCTTACGTCGTTTAGACGTGGAAAACAGGTCCTCGACCGAGCGACTCACGTGTCAGGCTGTAAAGTTATAAGTTATACTCGCGCGGCGCATAAGTGTGCGTCGGTTGTTTAGGGTGTTATCTATTATTTTTTCACAGTAGTCAGAAAAAATGCCTGGCCGTGGTGTAGCGGTTGCGTAATGAGACTTCAGTCGCAATGACGCGGGTTCAAATCCCCGTCGGAAAACTTTTGACTTTTCACTTTTTAGCGAACAATTTTTCTGTTTGGTTAAAAACGAATAAACACTCAACATAAGATTATGTAGTGGCTAATAATAAAACTTGTGAACCCATGCATTTGCATAAAATCTCAAGTGCTCACCCCTTATTTGCAAACTTGAGATTGTTAGCACAACAAATGCATACATTCACAAGTTTTATTATTAGCCACTACGTAATCCTATGTTGAGTGTTTATTAGTCTTTAACCAAACAGGAAAAAATTGTTCGTTAAAAATCAAAACAAATATGTAAAGATAATAATACACACACGTGGGCTCGAACCCACGTAACCAAGGCTGCACACGTTTGCTTAACCACTACACTACCGTCAGGTACACTGAGATCGCTTCACAGCCTATATATTGTATTGCTAGATCAAGACGTACTGCGTCGGTCGGCCAATGACCTGTTTTCGACGTCTAGGGGAGGTCGGGATTGGACGTCATATCCACGTATATGGGAGGTCATTGTTTTACGTCCAGATGCGCACCTTGCACAGACGTCGTTTGGACGTAAATAAAAGGTCACGACCGACCGACGCGATATTGACGTGATCTGGAGGTTGAGTGGACGTCGGATGTTTAGTGGGTATGTGCTATCTGCCCCTCCAACCAGCACCAACCATTCACACACACCATACTCATTCTAGGTAATGGGGGTGAAGTGTCTTGCCTACGGACAACGGCAGTGTGGCACTTTACAGCCCAAGCGGCCCCACTGTGGCACCTTGTGTTCCCAGATATCTTGCCAAGGACACAACGACAGTAGTCATTGGGAGTCGATGATTAAAGTCTTGAGTTGGGCTTAAAATATTACAGGATGTATTATTTTAGATTCCAGTTTGTGAATGGATTGATTACACCCTCAGTCATTCATCACGTGGCCTTGGTCCTCGTTCTACAGAGTGAGACCTGGATCTATAGACTGTCTGTAGGCCTCTCCAAGGTTTCCCACTTTTTCCCACTAGGGTTTTTAATAAAGTTGTTCCTTGTTGATTTAGGAGGGTCTAAGGACAGTGGTGTTTATCCGGGACCCTTTTTAGATACATTTATCAAAATGTATGGGCATTATTCATCTGCCGTTTGTGTTCGCAAATTCAATGGTTTTTTAAAGTCCTCTAAGATAACTACTATTGTGATGTATGGCTATACAAGAATAAAATATTTAAAAGATTACACTACATTTTATCATCTTACAGAGACCTGCACCAAATAACCCTAACCCTAATCAAATATGGCCTTGTTAGTGAAATCTCTCAATATTAAATTATATCCATTATACAGCAGCTAAAGGTTGGACGGAAATTCTAGTTTAATCTCTTGTAATAAATCCAACACCTCCGGCACACATAACCAGAATTCATGAGGACAAAAGCTGTTAAAAAGGCACCAAGCATAATGAAAAATAGAACTGTGTTTTACCGTGCATCTGTCCACACGATCCTCTTCTCCAGATGGTCCAGAGTGAGTCCATTAGGCCAAGCTCCAATTTCCATGTCTTTAAAAACAATGTGTCGACCTCCTCCGCTCATGGACGCCGCCTCAATACGGGGGAATGTGGCGTCCCAGTCAGTCCAGAACAGAATCCTAGAAAAAAGAAAGAGAGAGAAAAGTCTTGGTTCCAGTACACTGCAAACATGTTAAATCTATAGCCAGATTTAAAATGAATAATGCATTACTGATTATCAATAAAGAAGATCTCATCTTCATCTCCTTTGTCCATTTCTATTCGGGAGAGTTGGCGATTAGCGCTGCCACGCAATCTCACAGCACCAGCAATAACGATATGCATTATTATTGGATCATAACATGTTAGGGGTTAGGGTTAAATAAGACTATTTAACCAAGCATTTCATTTTCAGAAGACATAGTAATTTAAGTGGAACATGCATGGAGGAATATTCATGAAAAAAACAAAAAACATATCCCTGGGTGTCATTCTTCTCTCCTAACACCAGATGGCGTGTCCAGAACCGTCAGACGGTTGTGAAGAACATGATACATTTCTGAAACTATGTTTTTGTTTCTTTACACTGGCTTTGAAAATGACATAATAGTGCTTGAGGAGTCATCAAATTGGACCAAGTTTTGGACAGGAGCAATTTGAAAGAAGGGGTGGAGTTGCATGTTTTCGAAGTTCCTGATGTAAGCGTGGATGGATCTAAAAACTACTCCATGTTGATTTGGTTTTAATGAATGAACTATGTTGTAATACCCAAAAAGTACATTTTGAATAACATGTCTCTTTTAATTATGTTTAATGAATAAATATGAAGAGGTCTTTTACAAAAACAGTTATTTCAAAATGGAAAATGTGTCAAAAGGTTGCATTCCTCTGGCAGTACATTTGAAAGCATTTGCTCAAGAAGGGGTGAAACTTTATTAAATAGATCTGGCTTAGGAAAAGGGTAAAATATAAGCCTTTCAAATATATTTCTAATGGCACTCTGTTTTTGCAAATAAACTATTCATGAAGGTACTGGCTTCATGAATAGATAGAAAAGAGATTTATCATTATTATAATTTTTGTCATACTATCTTAGAGCGATGTAAACAAAATATGGTTTCTCCATTGAATTAACTTTGTTTGGAAAGTTTTTGAAGTGTTAATGACTTTAGTATTGAGAGATAAATAATGATGTATTAGATTATATTGTATTTAACATTTATCATTAAAGAACTGTTAAGCGTACTCAGATTAAGGGACAAACACGTGTTCTCAAAATAAACGAAAAACAATAACAGTTGTTGATGACTATTCATATTACATCGGCATAATCAGTGTACTGCTGAATTAGAAATATAGTCAAATTTATGCAGTAGTTAGTGTAAAATCTTTTCAGAAAAAAGTTGTGCTTGGGACACGCCTGGAAATGGGAAGCCATCTGTTTTATTATGACTTTTCACAGCTCAATGAGGCCTGGAAATGAACACCGCCATTGATTTGACCATCCACGCAGGATCCAGAGTCCAGAAGGGTCAAAAACAAAAACAACATAAGGAAAACTAAATGACCTCCTCTTAGGGTAACATGGGCAAAAAAGGAACATTGTGTTTTATGTGGTGAAAGAAACACACAAGACAAGACACATACAATGGGATAATGTGTTGCACTCTCCACAAATCAAGACATGGCCGATATTAAAGACTAGGGATGTAAAAAACTATGAATTTTCATGACCGACCACCGAGCCTCATTAACCGGTTGAAACCGGTTAACCGCGTAGTTTAAAATAGTCCACGTTCTTTGAAATAACAGCCATTTCGAGCCGCGTACTTTTCATAAGTGCAGCTCTGCGTTCTACTGGATCAGAGTTGAGACAGCGGCGCCCAAACCCGCAACAGCTCCGGCACCTTTGCGCACAGAGAACTGCTTTTTTAATCTTCCCATTCTGCTGTGCTGCGGGTTAATACAAAAACTTTCTAGCAGCAAACGACGGCTCGTTCACATGGTCAGAGCAGCGAGTGACGAGCCGCGTCTCACAGGTCTTCACAAAAGTTTAAATACAAGTGATGTGTGTGGAGCTGATCCCGAGGACCATAAACACAAACATGTTCCATGTGGTTTGACTGGAGCCGTGTGTTTGCGCAAATCCTTTGGGCTCCGTGACACAGAGGAGCGCGACAGACCGGTATGTGTGTGTGTATGTGTGTGTGTATGTATGTGTGTATGTGTGTGTGTATGTATATGTGTGTGTGTGTGTAAATGTAAGCTCCAATGTAGTTCTGACTCGCGCCAGTGTGCAACTTTGACGGTAACAGAGGGGAGAGATGATGCGTGTGGATGTTACGTATGGAGAGGGGGAAAGTGTGTGTGTGTGTGTGTGCGCGCGTGTGTGCATATGTGGCGCGTGCGGCGTGAGAGTCGTCCCGGAGTTTATAATACATGGGCGCACACAGCTAGATACAGACCCGCTCGTCACACCGTGCAAATAGGGCTTAAAATAGCGTTATTAAGAGACCTCCCCTCTCCCCTTTTTCTCTTTTTTAACCGACAGCTTTGACCGGTTAACGCTGTGACGGTCAACCACTGGTTAAACAGTCGCCGATTTACATCCCTATTAAAGACCTTATGACGGGTTTAAAAAAAAAAATAGTGAATATCAAAATTGCATGACAATGTCAATTTGAAAGAGATTCCGGCAAAAAAAATCCTATATTTTATAAAAAGAACATGTTTTTCATGAATTTAAGTTGTCTATGCTCTAACCTGTGTGTGACGTCATAGCGGGTTACGCCCATGCATTGAAAACCATGGATCTATGCCACAGGACTGCCTTTTCTCTCTTCTCTCCATGATGCCCAACACAATACTGCCCTCTACAGGTGACAATTGCTCACTACACATAAATTGCCGTTTTGAGTGTGAAAAAGTGTCCGAGGTGGGATTTGAACCCAAGTATCTGGATTGACAGTCCATCGACACAACCACTGGACTATCTCAGTGCCAACAAAATGTTACATTCTAGTAGATATCTCAGACTCGCTGTACACGGCCTTGTCATCTTGAATATCCGTGAAAGAAGAACGAATACCAAATTGTAAACAACTTACAGCGTTGAAACGTATCCGTTCTGACGTCACCAAGGGCTGTGAAGTTTTTTCGTTTCAAAGGGCGTTGCTATGGGGTTATTTTGATTTGGGGGGATCAGACAAAAAAAACAACAACTGATTTTGAAACCTTTAGTAGTTCTCTTCTAATATAAAATGGTATTAAAACTGTATTTCTAAATAAATCAAACCCGTCATAAGGTCTTTAACTGTTTTGTTTCCCTTATTTGATTGGCTGCCCCGCCCTAATGTTTTTCACCAGTGTCTTTGTCTATAATGTACCCTGTGTTCATCTTCCCGTGTTGCTAGTCCATTGTCTTTGCACATCTGTGGTCCTTGTTCCTAATTTTTTTGGGGAGATTTTGAGTTTGTTTTCCCCTGGACACTTATTTTATCACCATAAATAAAATCTTTCAGTTTAGACCAGACTTTGCAAACCTGTCATCAGAACCAGATTTTGCCATGATTCTATAATATTGTAAAAGATCATAGAACTTCTCTATTAAATCTTATTTGACATACAGGAAAGTACAACCACACAACCAACCAATCGTTTTGCATCCCCATCTTTGCTTTGCCATGGCTAGCAAGAAACGACTAATGTCTCCCCTGATTGGCCTGATTTGGTTGGTAAGAGATAATTAGGCACTAAATTCTCGAGCGAGGTAGAGCTAGTTAACGGACTTTCATAGTATGTACCCTTTAATGGGCTATTTGTCAACAGCCTCTGCTCTGTCCTTTCCCTTTTGCAAAGTCAACTTGAACAAAGAGAGAAAATGGACACCAAAGCTTAAATCACATCCTGACGACAACTCCACGGCGTGAGGAAGAAATATCTGTGTCTAGATCGATATCTTTGTTCACTTGATAAGGGCCTTCTGATCAATTACCGTCCTCTTTCAGGGGATTCAAGTAATTGCATTAGAATTATTGCCTTGGGATGGAGAATGGACCCCCAGGCACCAAACGCACCCATTAATCCTACTCGGCCCAGACTTGAAATGCAGTCATCCTACCAAAAAAAAGAAAAAAAGTTAAAGGGAAAAAGATCAGAGAAGAGCCTCAAAGCTGATTACTCATTTTGTAAGAGTGTTAAATTGATTTTGGGAGGGTCTGGGTTTTTGGCTTACGAACTACAGTATATATAATCATTGGCTATACTGCTTAAAAGTATTTATCCAAAGTAAGCGGTTAATATGAGATGCACGGAGGAGCAACACTTAGCCTTCTTATAATCGCTGCCGTTATTCAAGTAAGATATTTATGTGGGCAGCAAGCGGTGTAGATGTACAGGGACCAGTTTATGATTTATCCACTGTGCATGTAGCCATCTCGGTTTGCACTGAGTGACAAGCGATAGATAAAGATAGATAATATAGACAGAAAAAAATAACAGTACATATTGATTAACCATTGTTTTTGTTGAATGAAGTGTGTCTAATATTATCTATTACCTCAACTGACTTATTATGCTAAGTTAGAGATATTTTACGTCCTTCTTTATTCTGCTAAAGTCAGAGATTTTCACTTAATTCTTGCTTTTTCATTATGCTAAATGTTCCAGCTTCTTCCCTCTGGCAGAGGATATTGTTCGCTGAGATGCAGCACATTTCGTTTTGCTAACAGCTTGACTGTTGGCAAAACAGTTAAAGCTTGAGTATCTAACTTTTACGTTTTGTTTCGTAAATACATGTTGTGTAATATGTTGTAAACAGTTCACTCTACTATATTTATGTATTATCTATTACAAAACATATGATATTTTACATACTGAGAGCTGATTGGCTAAGAAAGGGCTGGTGTCATTCTAATAGAAAAAACTGATCTAAAGAAGGAACACAGGCCAATTAAATAGAGAACAAGGAACTAGTTACAGGTATTTCATCACAGCCATTTTTTGTGGATTCAAAGTCAAGTACACTAGCTTTAATTTACCCAGTCAGGAGATACTTTACATGTGACACCGACATGTTGAAAATAGCGGCGTTGGTGTTGTGCAATAAATTCTGACCCTGGGGAAAAGTCCAATAGTCCTGTTTCATCTCAAAGTCACGGTCAATTAAACAATTCATTAGATTATCAAGACGGCCGACCAATCAACACGCTGCTCTGGCACAGTGTCTATAACACATCACATTACTCCATGAATGTGCAGTGTCGCCGCCCCAAGTCATTTGAGTCTCATATGTTTTCCTCATTACTGCGTGTCACTGCACTATCAATTCTCTCTCCTCCACTGTAGCCAACAGCATAAAAACAGAGGAATAATATTTGAGTCAATAAACTGTTTTAAAGGCATAATAAAATCATCAGATAGCCAGCCTGAGTACAGTGCAAGTAATATCCCTTTAACCTTCACCTGAAATGAAATATTAAGGTTCTTACGCACTCTGAATAATTTACACTTTATTACAGCCAATGACTTTCACGTAACTCAATTTCATATAGTAAATACTGCCAGTGGTTTTAAATTTGTATTAGTTTATTATGTACATAGATATATCATATGTTCTAATGGTGATGGCTAATCCAATCCCCCCCACCATTAAAATAAAGTACTTCCTTGCAGCGTTTTGACAAAGCCAGACTAATAGATGGAAGTGAATTTCTTCTTATTATTATTATCAGCAGGTAAAGAAAGGCAAGTCTAGATTGTATACGTAAGTACGAACAGTTGGATTGAGATTCAGTGGTTTGGATTGTCACTTGGAGTCTATTAGCTGGTCGTTTGTGAGTGATTAAAGGGGGCATCGCGTTTTCTGGTGAATAACATAATCAAACATGGTTCACGATCAGGATATTAAAAAAGATAGATTGTGTCAGGATATTATCTGAATATCTGTCAGGGAAAACTCTCAAACAAATTACACAAGGGATAACTAAATTACAAAGACTAATCAATCACTCAAGTAAGTAATCTGTATTATAAAAATAAAAAAATCGCAGACCAGGGTCACACAAATTCTAGTTGTATCAGGCATTTCCATTCACTCCACACACGGTGATGACAGAAGCAAGACGGCAAACACTCATCACCATCCATCCAGTCATCATTACATAAACTATTATACATCTTTTCAGTGGTAAGGGAAATTGGAGCACCCGGAGGAAACCCTACACACACACACAGGAAGAACATGCCAACTCCACACAGAAATACCATGAGGTGGAAACGAACCCTGGACCTTCTTATTGTGAAGCAAAAGCGCTAACCACAGCACCAACGTGTCATCCAAGGTATGTAATCAGATTAAGATTAAGAGATTACTTTTTAGTCCCGCAGTGGGGAAATGTCAGTGTTGCATCACCAGTTAAAGAACAGCTCAAGACAAGTGAACAGTAAATCTATATTGAAATAAAATAAAATCTCTAACATTAGCACAATAAAGAAGCAAGTATAAAGTCTCTAACTTTAGCATAATAAAGAAGCTAGTCTAAAATATCTAACTTTAGTAAAACATTAGCATAATAGAGAAGCAAGTTCAAAATCTCTTACTTTAGCCTAATATAGAGGCAAGTCTAAAATATCTAACTTCTCAAATCAAAAATAAGCATGCAAATAAGGATTAAAAATGAGCAAGCATAAATCCCTAGGCTTTATTAGTGAAGCATTTATATTTTTGTTCAGATCTTTCACTGAATCAAATACGCCACAGTTAACTCTCAAAATGAAAAGCATAAGCTCTTCAGGAGTGGCCTCTCAAACTTACTCAACATGATTATATAATCTATTCTGGTCAAGTACCTCTCAGCAAAACTTTAATTTGTCAAAACAGCTCTATAACTATCTACTAGCTGCTATCTTTCCGAAATATCCCTCGTATTTCTTTTTCATTACATGTAAAATCTAGCTCTAGCAGGGAAATATTAGGGTGTGCAGTGGAGATTATAGAACCCACGGTTGAGGAGACTTTTGCCGCATCACTTGTCATTACGTGAAAACAAAATACTAATGTTGTTATTGATGTGTCTCATGTCTTCTTCTCTAATGGGCCTCAGCACCACGGACATCTTCATATATCCAGTAGCATTGTAACAAACGTACAAAGCAGGTCACTTTCCTATATTCCCATGAACAGATGGATTGATCCAAGCCTGTACAGCAGTGGTGTTGAGTGTTGAAAGATCAGGCAACAACTTTAAGGACAGGAAGGAAGGTTACACACATGGGCTTTGAGTGGACTAACTGAGAACTTGACGTCACCCGTAGTGTCACTGCGGAAGAAGTCAATTAGAGCTAACACAAACTGGCTCTGTGGGCGGAAAGCTGGAGCCAAATGAGTGGGTATTAATGACCTAGTAACCAACGAGCCGATCAGGAGCCGGGCCAGTCTGTTCCCGGTCTGAGACAGAAGGAACCATGGTCAGTCGCTTGGGGACATATCTGGATATTTGCAAAAAAGGATCATGCAGAGCTTTAACCGCAGAATCGTACGGTCGAAAGGGTAAGGACACAAACGGTTAAAAACTTACAGGAAATTTATTTTTTTGTCACTATAGGAGTCAAAGCAAAAACTTTACCCTAATCCATGAGTACCTCCCCATGAGGCTTCATTGAGCTGGCGGGTTGGAATTTTCCATATTGTAATTATCTATGGCTGACATGTTAAACTCAGGCCCGTGGGCCAAATCCGGCCTGAAAGACCATTTTTAGTGGTCCCTAAAATAAAGACATTTTGTTTTCAGATTAACGTCATGTCAAAACACCTTCATAATGTAAAAAACAATCATAAGAAAAGGAAATCCCCAGACCAGTTCCTATTTTTTTCTATTCGGCCCAGGACCAAAATGAGATTGAAGCCCTGGTCTATGGCTACACAAAGACTAAAAATGATTTGAAAAAAAAAATGGGCACGTATAGGGGAGTCAGATGCGAACTGATTACAGATCGGTTTTATGGAAGTAGGGTTTAATTACAGGTTTTTTTCTAACTCTTATAGAGAAAAAACAAATATTAATTAAATATTAGACATTTAACTTTACAACAGAGACTATATGATAGTAGCTAGAATAAGGAAAACATGTCAAATTACTGTATGCCAAATGAGATAATGAAAAAGATGTCACCTTTTTCTCTCGAAGTCCCATCACATCCATACTTAAAAATCACACTTCGGGTATTTTTATGCAGAGCGGTAATGCATTTTGATCTCCAACAGTCCAAGCTCTTCTTACCCTTGTCCTGGGTCGAGCGCGATGGCCCGTGGATGCTCCATGCCCCCAGCGATGAGAGTGGTTCGCATCTCTCCGTTCAGCAGAGCCACTTCGATCTGGTCCAGGTTACTGTCAATCCAGTAGAGTTTCCCCGTGATCCAGTCCACAGCAAGCCCCTCCGGAGTCGCCAAGCCGTGCTGCACCACCACCTCAATCCCGGTCACTCCTGCAAACACAAAAGAAACGGGTAAAATGTTATTCATAAAAAAAGTCTTGATACTTTACAACAAGAAGTGAACGTGCATTGAATATTGTCTGAAGGTACTTTGGGTCAGCTGTTAAAGCTGCACTAACTGACTTTGGGATTTTGAAGCAGCAGACTCGCTGGCCTCTCTCTTTCTGCTCCCCTCCCCACACCCACGAAGCTATCGCCCCCCACACACACTCACTGTTGGGACGGAGCTAGCGTCTGCCAATATGGATAATACATGGATATGGATTTGCACGTGGATGGCGTGACCATAGAACGATAGAACCGGGAAGCGCGGAGGAACAATACTTTATTTTGGATGGCTGTCTCGCTGTGTAAGCAGTAACCGGTGACGAAGACGAGGAAGCTTCAGGTTACGTCCGATGCTTGTTGTGCTAACTCAGCCGTCTATGCTAACGGACCTGTAGATTTCTCACGAAAGTGGGGGCTAGTGGTCCACTGTGATTGGTCACAATCTGCGACCCGAAACACGTTCTCTTCCTTGTTTCATCAAAACTCGATCTAAAATATAATGTCACGCCAGCACAAATCTGCGCTACTTTTTCTTCAAAAGGACGTATATCCCAATACACTACATGGACATGGATAGCATTTTTGTAATGAATACAAAAATAAAGTCAGTTAGTGCGGCTTTAATATTGTTCTATATTAATGATACATATAATTGACAAAGTAAGTGTTAATATTTTGCTTTTACAACTTCCTACCAAACACTACAGTGACCTTGTTTATAATCAAGATAAAGATAAAGTTGGGGTATGTAACTTTGAAAACCCAACAACAGAACTATGTAACCAAATTATTTTGAGAGGGAGGAAGCAGTTAGACAAGCTGTCTAACTGCTTCCTCCCTCTCAAAATAGTTTGGTTCTATCACCAGTTTTTACATAAATATGTTGTTGGCCTCTGTCACATTTCAAAATCAAGTTTTTTCAGACAGAAAAGTGAAAAAAGAGGACCAGCAGCCCAGAGCGTCAAAAAGTGACATATTACTCTTTCTGTTGCAAAATCAGAATAAAAATGTGTAAAATTTGAGAACAAAGGTACCTCAGCTTTAATTAGACATTTAAACTACTGTAAGATGTGAGAAAGAGCCCAATTGTGGTGCCACTGTCAGCGGATCGTGAAAAGGAGTTTATCTCGTGTGTATTTTATTTTGTATCTTGTTTATTGTATATATTTGTTTGCATAAAGTTTGAAATACATTCTGACTATACTATACAATCAATTAAATTAATTTCTAATACCAAAATACATTGAATTTAAATGTAATTGAATTTTATAGGTCATCTTTTCACTCCAAGTTTAAGTATAGTTTGTGATACCTACATTTTGCTTACTTTAGTAGTTTGGAGAGAACCTTTTTTCTTAATACAAAGCCAGGAGAGAGGCAATTGCAAAGAGCTAGCTGTGTGTTCTTTTTTGCCTCCTTCTCTGGAATCTATTAGAAATGGTAAAATGCTCTCCTGGCCCTATATACAATCCTGCTGTTTACAATAATTCTCAGATGGTGTGGTCTTTATGTGCGTCTTACAAAGGAGTGAAATAGTAACCGCCGCTAAAATCCTATCTCTACTGCACCATGGAGCAAAATAAAAGATCTGGGGCCACAGGGAAAGTGCTGCCACCTGTGGAAAAATGGAGCACAAGGGCTTTTGATTCATTGCTTTATGCAGGTTTTTGATAATGCACATCATCCGCCGCAGACTCCAGGGCCATTTTGGTTCTGTATGGATTGTGAACAAGGGGAATTATCAATATGGAAGAGAACTGTGCAAAACAGGGAAAGAAAACCTAATATTCTAATATGGAGATGAAGGTACTTTATCTTGTTGATAGCTTGGACTTGTTTTTTGTAATATATTTTAGATGCCCAAGAAATAGGTTTAAAGCAGAAAATTATACATAAAATATTAACAAGGACTAACATAGATCAATTCAAAAGACACCTTTATCTATTCAGACTGGCCTAGTCACTCTTATTCTACATGTCACTGTTTTTTATGTTTTTTTTTTATCATTTAGACCCATCCATCCATCCATTTTCTTCCCCTTAATCTATTTCTGGGTCGGGGGGGTGGCACCCAGTACACATTGCACTAGCCCCTCTCTGATCCTCCTGTAGGTGGTGAGTGAATAGGAGGACAGCTGCTCTATGGCATGGACTTGGTCTTTCAGTGGGTGCTTCAGGCAAAGTGGGGTTAAGTGTCTTGCCCAAGGACACAACAACAGCAGACCAGTGGGAGTCAGTGGGGAAGATCTCGTGGTGGGCACGAACCCACAACCTTCAGGCCCAAAGGCCAATGCTCTACCAACTGAGCCACTGTCGCCCCCGATCATTTAGACCATCCATCCATCCATTTTCTGCCCTTTAATCCATTTCTGGGTCAGGGGGGTGGCAATCAGAGATGCCACCCAAGTCTCATAGCACCAGCCCCTCACTGACCCTCTGCAGGTGGTGAGTCCACAGGAGGACGGCTGCTCTCTGAGTGTGAGCATAGCCTTGATCTTTCAGTGGGGGCTTTTGGGCAAAGTGGGGTTAAGTGTCTTGCCCAAGGACACAACGGCAGCAGTCATCAGTGGGAGTCGGTGGAGAAGGTGCAGAGGTGGGAATTGAACCCACAACCTTCTGGCCTTAAGGCCAATGCTCTACCAACTGAGCTACTGTCGCCCCTCGCCCCTGTCGCATCATTTAGACCAATATTAGAAAAACATTCTAAAGAATTTGGGAATTCTGTGTAAAATGATTGCTTCATATAAACAGGTTTCAAACTCTAAGGAAGCTGTTATTATTACTCCGAACATCAAGGATATTGAAAATCACAATAGAATGTTGGTCAGAAAAATTGCAAATCCATATTTTTAGCCAAAATTTTGCAGCTCTAGAGTATCCACCACAGCTTTAATTCCAAAACCAGCGCTGAGTAAGACATCAGGACTACAGCTCTGTCATGGTTCCATAGACAGTAGAATACATCGTGCAGAATTATCTCAGTGTGTTCCCTGGTTGGCCTCAGCCTATACATCACTGCAGACACAAACAAAACCAGCGTCGGTCCTGTACATAGACGTGCGTGTGCTATTGGGCAGCAGCGTACCTCCAGTCTCCGATAGGCGTCCCCTGTAGATCTTATCCTCCACCACGTCTGTCCAGTACAGCAGACTGTGGTTTAAGTGGAAGTCCAGAGCGATGGTGTTCCTTAGGCCAGGCACCAGCAGGCTGTAGTCGCGCTTGTGAAGGTCTATTCGTCTTATCTCGTGGCGGATGGAGAAAATGATAAAAGCCTCAAAGGGGTCTGGGGGGAGAGGGGGAAGAAGATGAGGAAAAAAAGCCAGAAAAACACATTATTTCCAACACTGTGTCAGTCACGGCTAAAGGGGGTGTTTGAAAAAGTAAGCAGTGTGCATTGTGTGAAATAGGTTACGTTTTGGCTAAAGGGCCACTTGTCTGCCGATATTGGACGATACGTCAGTGGAAATAGCCACATTATGGTATGGTTGTATTATGTAACAGCTTGAAGATACCATGGCTCGGTTATGAAAAAACATTACATATTCCATGCTAGAAAGTCTGTAGTGATTGTTAAAGTAAATGTCATACCTACAATACAGCAATACAGCATATGAGCACTATGGATAAGTGGGAGGTTAAACAGGTTATGTAATTTTTTATCATGCAGAAGCTGTTCAGTAGTGGCACTGAAGGTCTAGAATGAGGGTGGTGAGTATATATTGGTTCATCAATTCAGCTCATGTCACACAATACAGTACTCACAAACTGTAAACATGTAAATTGTGTTTTTGTATCAGTTGCTATAGTGTGGTCTTGAATAGAGAACAGGCAAGAGTTTTAATGTGAAATCTAGGATCTAATGAATATACAATAAAGTCAGGGGTTTTTGTGCTTAAGTCTTGCTTTTTCACCGTACTAAAGATGGACATGTTAAGACTTCCTTATTATGCTAAAGATAGAGATTTTATAGCTTATTTTTTATGCTAGGGTTAGGTATTTTATTTTATTATCAAGTTATTAATCACTCATCTTGTGCTGTGTGCTCCTCATTCTTTCTGCTTTGTAATTTGTAATGCAATACGGAAATTTCCCTCCTTCTCTTACTAGGTTCTAGTGACTATTATCATCAAAATCAGGAATCTCCAGCCAAGACAAGTTAGTACTAAATAATATAAAACTACAGGAGACATAAGAGCACTCAGGTTATGAAGACATCAAACAAAATCAATTTTTTAAGATGATAAATAATAAATAGATAAACAGATAATAAAGTAAAATTGGACCTGGGTTATAGATAAGTACATTTGTGGAGAATACACTGTAGTAAGAAAGTCAGGAAGTTTCACATTTACACATTTTTTATATTACACTTTGTCCACAATAAATTCATCCCAAGCATCCGAACAATTGCAGGGAGCTACTTCTATTGATAAAAACGTAAATCACATACTAGTGTGCTAACTTTCAATGAGACCCGCCCCAAAAGCCGCCTGATTGGACGCAATGAGCTGAGGCCTCTCATCATTGGTATATTCTCCGGTAAATTTGACTGTTGATGGTTATTCCAAAAAGTGAGACTGAACACTACTTAATATTAATGATTCTACGGGCTGTTTTATCATTTTAATCCCATGTGTGATTTTAATGTTTGAATGTTTTCTAATATTTCTTGTGTTCTAAATGTTTATTCCTTTTTTTTTTTTTTTTTAGTTTTGAATGTTTATGATTCATGCCTGATGTGATATGGGTTGTGAGGCGCTTACCATTTTAAAAACTCAGCCATTTCTATATCGTTTGGAGAGCTAATTGGGTATGTGACCTACTATACAGGTCACAGATATGTTTTTAATTTTTATGCTGATTCTTATTTTGCCTTACTCTATTCTTTACCTCTCCTCTTGGTGCCGAGCCAAAGCAATTTCCTGGTCTGTGACTTCCTGTTACTTACATGGCAATAAAAAAAAGATTATTTAGAATGAGCTTGAACTTTGAATGCAATAGTTTGAATATTTTACTACAAGATATTTTTCAACAATTGTGTGGGATTCTGACCTTAGTATATTTAAACATCTATGAAAGTATCTTACCTCTATTGAAAATTGACCTTGCTTGAGTTCTGAAAGGGATATTTAGTTATTGGTGAATTATTGAAAAGGCCCGTTCAATAAAATTATAATCAATGTCCATGACTAAATAGGATTGTGAGATGATCAGTGCAATATCATTAAATGAATAGTTAGACATGGTTGTGGCGCAGAAGCTCTCTCAAAGTCCTAGCATACCTTTCCCGTGCTTACATAGCAACATAATATCAACCCCATTGACCTAGTTTGTTTCGTGATGTAGACTGGTCTCACCACACCATTGCTCTCATTTATTTCGTACTAAGGTCTGGATTTGCTCCATTGAACTCCGTAACAGGTGGGAGGGGTCAACTCCTTTTGCAGAATTAAACGATTGTGTGTTGACAAATGTAATGCGGCCAAGTGAATGAGGCATTTAGCATTTAGCCTAGCTTTAGTCATCTCCTTTACCACTAAGGGAGCCCGTGCGGAGTAGAGCCACAACATCTTTGCGGCAATGACATTTGCTAAAAATTCCTCTTGCTCCGGCTTCAATTTCTTGATATTTGGAGCCGAACCAGAACAGATTGAAGAGCTTCTTTTACTTTCACATTTTCCACCATTGCCAAACTACAACCATCAAATTCAACAAGATTCAACCAAGGTAACTGCAGCCACTAGGATCAGACCCAAACATACGTAGGGAATGATAATGGACCAGAGTTTAAAGGAGAAGGCCCGGCAAGACATTTTCACCTGTTATTCCCCACTTGTTGTCCGTCCACTGTCTATACCACGTTCGTTCGTGGCTTGTTTTCAGTTATGGATTTTTGTGTTTTGATTTATTTAAACTACACTTTACTCTCAGTCCTGCATTTTGGGTTCCTTTTTTTTATTTCACCCCATGACAGTTAGTCCTTGGTGCAATGACACTGCTGCGGTAACGGAAATGTTTGTATTTCCACAATTTCTATAATGCTTCATATTGAGGTACAAGTTAAAGGAGATGTGAGAGAAATCCAATACTTCCTGTCTAAATTGGGATGTTTGTGCGGAAATTTAGATTCACGACAAAGCTGAAATATTGTGATGTGTTCGGAGGGAAAATAACTGTGCAACTCTTTTCTTGCTTAATGTAAGATTAGAGCCGCAAGTGCTATCAATCTCTGCACGAAAGAGAGAAGCGAGTAATGAAAACGAGGTTCATAAATCTGAATGTGACACCGGCATGTGTGCGAGTTACAGAGCCGGTGGCCTGCAGTCTCATCAAAGAGATTTTTAGTGTCTGGAGCCGACCGTTCAAACGGGAGTAAGCAAATTGGTTCTTCAGATAATGTTACCCAAGTATAGAAATGAAAACAGTTCTTTGAGTAAAATGTTATACTGCGATTGATCAGGAAATAAATGATAAATAATACTACTAATAATTAGTCCGCTTTAATCATTTACAAGACTCAAAACTAGAATTTCATGGCTTTTTGAAATCGAAGCTTGCTTTTAACACTTTTAACATTGACTAGTTTGAAGTCACTTTTTAAATATTTTTGTGCAAACATTTTTGACTTTTTAAATTTTATTGTTTTTGATTGCATGAATATTTTAAAGGCTTTTAATGGATTTGATTGCAGTTTATAAGATAATGTCACTGATTGATAATAAGGAACCGAAGCAAAAAGTAAAAAGTCCATTATGTCTTTATGTTGAAAGCTTCTTCTAAAAAGACAAAAATGTAAAGACACTAGTGCTTAAAAACCAGTAGTTCTAGCGTCTTTAAACTCTTGTCTTATTCTTAAACTCTCTAAGCCCTGGAAAAGAAAGAGAGAGTACAGCCAAAAACAGGTGGCTGCTGCGCTTTGGTTCAGGATTAACTTCACAGTCCACTCAGTCCCACCTCTGTCTCTTCCTGACACTCTAACTTATCATTGTTTACATTCACGTTTAGGAAAATTAAAACTGTTCCTGAGTGCAACAGAAATCATTTTGAAGTGCCATTTTCTTGTTTTGGCAGCCAGCTCATTTTTTGTAAGAAGTAGAGACATGTTTTCACTCTCTATGGACCAATGGCTCCTACGTTTTTGTTATTATTACTATGTTCAAAATGATGTTGGTTTCTCCGAGATGACGGCTGTGTTTTAGAGGTAAACAAACATACATTTAATTGTCATTTAATAGAATTGGATGCAGCCAATGTTTATGCTTGTGCCGGGAGCGTGAAATCCCCAAAACATTGTAATAATGTGGATCATTGGTGCTATCAATGTGAAGTCTTTTCATAGCTATTTCGGCGACTCGCTTCCTACTCGGAAGCGAGTCGCCGAACACACTGGACCATCAAAGCCTCCAATCAACATCATCCATTCATTCACTCATTAACATTCAGACCTATTGTGCAAGTTTTTAGTGGTAGGGGAAACCGGAGCACCCTGAGGAAACCTACGCAGACACAGGGAGAACATGTAAACTCCACTCAGAAAGGCCCTGGTCCGACCTGAACAAGTATACTGTATATTTCAGCTAAATATATGATCCTGTCTTGTAACAAAGTTTGAAAATGCAGCCATGTTTGTTTTTCCACTCTATTCAAAGCTGCCTTGTTTGTTTCCATGTATCATTTCAGAAATGATTGAAGACATTTATGCCAGCCTTGCAAAAGTATCTTGAAAGATAAAACCTGGTGGGTTGGAAAGCTTCACTCAGTCGGGGCCCAGAGCCGAGCAGACAGCCGCCATGACCAGCAGCGCTCTGATGTGAGGCTGATTAGATCTGACCTGGCAACGCCCCGTATCACCATTTATTACTATTCCGCAGACTTCGGTGCACTTTTCAGGCATCCCCAGACGCTAACACAACCCGCCTTTTTTGACTTGAATTTTTTGCTTCCTCCGCAGCCCATTAATAACTCAGACTTGAAGGTTATCCTTTTTGATGCGGTATAAAGGTGTGTGAAGAATAACAGAAATGTGCAAAATACAGTTGAATTGTGCGGGATGTTGTAGAAATAAACCTCTTTCAATATTTGAACGGAATTTTTTAATAGCTGAAATCCATTTCTAAGATACTCTTTCTGACTGTGTGTTTGAAAGTCCAATGTCACTGCAGCCTGGACCTTCTTTATGAAAATCTCATTTCAATGTATGTGCCCAGTGCTGTATTTCAAATAAACACAAATCTATTTCAGAGTAATACTTGAATTTGGTTCAGCCGTATTTTTTAAAGACAGAAATACAAAGAAAATATTGATTTAGTCATGAGTATATCAAATGAATGACATTTTTTTTTATTGTCCTCCTTTATATATAATTTTACTGTGTTTGAAATATGTTTGGATAAAGATTAATTTAATTTGTAGTTTTACTGCCCATATATCATGATTTAATTTGTATTAGATTCGGAAGAAAAAAAAATCCTGATTCGTTTTGGCTGTCTGAAGGTGAATGTTTTGTTTTCTAATTATAAATGACATATTTTTGTTTGGTCAAATTTGACACAACATTAATAATACATTACAACATAAAATAATATGTACTTTTGACTACAATGTTGGGAATGACTTGGCACAAATACATAATAAACTGAATTCAAATGTGATTTACTTTTTCCACTATTGGTACTTTCTGCACAGATTGAACAGGCTCAGTAAAGTGCTCAGCCTGGAGTTCAGGGTCAGTTACCGTTGCTGTGACAGGTGTCTCCGTCGGGGTCCAGGGTCCAGCCTGGGTAGCAGGAGCACTTGACTGTGGTCTTGTACTGCTGGCACAGCTGGCTGCACTTGAGGTGTCGGCTGCAGTAGTCCACCAGCTCACACGTCTTGTTGGAGGAGTCCAGGTGAAGCCCAGGAGGACACGAACACACCACACCCTTCCCAGGGGCCACAGTGCACTGGTGACTGCAGCCACCACGCGCCACCAGGCACAGGTCTGCAGAGAGAGAGAGAGAGTTTGAATGCAGCTGACTACAATTGTGATCCTGGAGATGAAAAATAAGTACATTTTTCAAATTTGGCAAAACGTATCTTAATTTGAGCACTTTCTGACTGCCTTAAAACAAGATTTGTCAATGGGCCAAGCAGAATTATCTGCAATGCAATGGAGGCAGATACAGTAAGTGTATAATTCCAAAAGACATTAAGGTGAGAATAATAATAATAAGACACTTATTAACCCCACTTAAACATACTCAGAAATACACTTGTATAGACACAAAACAAATAGCACATCAGTACACTAATAAGTACTTGAAAATACAAGTATTTTCTCCAGTGTGAGATCAGTACAGTTTCTCATCTTATAAATATACAGACAACTCAATCTCCTCATTGAGACCCGAATGTATCATTGATTTTAGAGTATCTATCCAGTATTTTTCTCTTTGTGATACGGTTTTCAGTCTGTCTCAACCTCTGATTGTTCTGGATGATTTCTATGCCATAGGAAATGTTATCAAAGTGTAGCAGTTATAAAGACAATTGAATATATCTGTTGTATAGTTATATTGTAGTAATATGTTTATCATGCTCCATAGAATATAATTTGTGTCTAATTTTTATTTTGTAACTTGCTCTGGCAAATTGGACATTTTGTATAATCACTGTTTTGAACTTGTAGACATGTAGCAGCACTCAGGGAAGCAGCCATGATGGAACATAATAGACTAAAGAATCTTCAAAACACAAAGGCTGTCAACCTGAGGAAAATGAATGGCTTTTATTTTCAGCTAAATGTAACAATCTCAGGCACAACCAGGCATGAGACAAGCATGTAAAAGTGACAGCAATTGATACAAGTTATGAGAACAAATTATAGTGAAAGTATCATAGCTTTGTCATTTTGTCCAATACCCTCATGCTGCTAACATGTACAGATGTAAACACACAATAATAATAATAATAATGCATCGGTTTTAAATAGCGCTTTTTCAGACACTCAAAGACGCTTCACATGTCATTATTCATTCACTCCAAACACGGTGGTGATAAACTACTTCTGTAGCCACAGCTGCCCTGGGGCACACTGACAGAAGCGAGGTTCTAAACGTAAACATTCACATGACAGGAGGCTTTTAGAAGTAAAAGGGCGATACATGTTACCACTCTAATGGTATTTGCTCTTAACATGTCTAATGCTTTTTGAAGAGCCGCGAAAAAAACTTTCAGGACTCCGCCGCTAGCATTAGTAGTAAGTTATCTCGTTCTGCATTTACACATACAAAACCGCTCATAAAACTTACACAATTCATCTAAATATTCAATATTACTCCCATAGGTAGTGTGGAGTGTGGAGGTTTTGTGGCATTTCTGGACCAAATACAAACCTGTAAGTAAATAAGAAAAGTTTCAGAGAGGAATGACTCAGCGTTACATTTGCAGATTGTGTCTGAGGGTCACGGTCAATTCGGCCCCCCCTACTACATCTGAGAATGACAACAGTTCCTATAATTCTTTCTCTGTACTCACTAAATTTAAACAAGACTACCTTTACTAAATACAAGCTAATTATCTTTAAATTACAAACAAATAGTAACACAAAATTAAATTCAAACAAACCTTTGCTGAAATAAGGCAAAACAATGGTGGTTACACATATTTGGGTGTACCACATCATGGTAAAGATAGATATTTTTAAGCTAGAGTTAGAGATTTTATTGTATTTTAGCTCAGTTTAGAGTTTTTGTTCACTTATCTTGTGTTGTGTACTCCTCTTTCCTACTGTTCTGTAACTTCTGATGCAACACTGACAATTCCCCACTGTGGGACGAATAACGGATCTCTTAATCTTGTAGCATTCATGAATTGTCAACTACAGTTTAAAAATGTCTCTCAGTTGCAGCAGAATCAGGTTTTCCTTCAGCAGTACGTTGACAGTACTCTTATTTTTTCTATGTATTCATTTCGACCTTGCCTCTTCAGCTTGGATTTCAAAAGGCCATTAGTGCTTTTGATAACCATCTCATCTCCAAACCGCAATATACTTTAAAAGCATTTATCACACGCAAAACATAAATTCTGCCGACTTTTTATCTCGATTAAAAATGATCCCGTCCTCCTCTCTTTCCTCATGTGTTTCCTCTTAGAAGCCGCTATCTAAGTTATTCCAGGGAAAATAACACTAAGCTGGCTTTTTCTTATCTTACAGTGTTGCAGGTTTCTCTTTCAAGGTGGTCAGGAAAAGCTCTGCTCACTCGCACCGGGAGGGAAGTGGAGTCTGCGGTTTTTTAACTTGTGGGTGTGGACAACTCCGGGATATTCAGATATAGGCTTTGTTGTTCCCTTCGTGCACTAGAAAAAATGACTCAGAAAACAATTTTCTAACTCTAATCCTGTGTGCTTATAATTACATAAAGGTCCAGACCGAGAGAACTGAGAGGAAATATTGAGGAAACATAAAAATGAGTAAAAATACTGTACGTCTTATACAATTTTAGGAAGAAGAAAAACAAAATCATATAAAATAAAAAATTCTGAACTCTGCTAAAAATATATATACTCACAAGCAATAAGTGTGAGTGTGTTGGTGTGTGTGCGTGTGTAGTGTTGTTCATAATTGTGTATAGGTGCGCATGTGTGTGTGAGCTGTTTATAATTGTGTATAGATACGTGTGTGTGTGCGAGCTGGTTATAATTGTATATAGGTACGGGCGTGTGTGTGACCTGTTTATAATAGTGTGTAGGTACGTGTGTGTGTGTGTGTATATGCTGCTGTTTACGATTGTGTATAGGTATACATGCGTTTGTGTGAGCTGTTATTGATAGTGTGTAGGTAAGTGTGTATGTGAGCTGTTTATAATAGTGTGTAGGTATGTATGTGTGAGTGTGCTGCTGTTTATGATTGTGTATATGTGTGCGTGTGTGTCTTGTTTAGGTAAATTAAGTATTTCCTGCTATATCTGAAATCATTTGGGGCAAGTATCATTTTCCAGTCATATTTTTTTGTTATATTGGTAGATTGTTTTCTTATTTTAAGCAGTATTTTACTTATTTCTTATATATTTTTGCCTTGATTTTTCCAAGGGATTTTTTATTTTTTTCCAGTGTGACATATCTGCTGTAAAAGAAAAGAGGCCTTCAGAGCAGAGGAAACCAGGATATGATACGGGCCACTTCTCTGCTTGGATAACACGCAGGAGTCCGAGAGAGTGGCCCCTGGGGAGAGGGTTAGGCGCTGGACAAAATGAACCTCTATGTTTGCACCGCGTCACTTTGGGAGATTAGATGTCCGGATACAGTCACATGAGATGCTTTAGCTGCGCCTCTGCGGACCACTGGACAAATACGCTCATGTTTACCTTAATCACAAGCCACTTCTTTATGTTCCCGCGTCTATCCTCTCTCTCTAATGCCTTTGAGAAAATACAGGCTCCATGCAGCTGAATGTGAATGAGAGCTTATAACGCAAGGACCCCCCAGGGACAGGTTATATACCAGTCCACGTGTAAAGATGAAACGATTTGTGCAAACTTACTTGCCCTTGCGCCGTGAGGGGAATTAGAGGTCGGTGATGATTTGCTTTGCCAGCACTAATGATATATGTTTATTATATTATTACAGCTTGCACTTGTGTTTTGTTTTTCACGTAATCGCTGTAGTGTAATGGTATTGATTTGGGCTTCTTCCTCCTGTTTGTTTGGTCATCTCGGTTTGCTCACATTAATAATACAGTACAATAGGATGGTCGAATAAGATGTGATACATGAGCTCTCAATCCAACAAAATACCTTTTTGTAAACAAAGTGTAAAGATCTGTTTCAATACATTGGAAAAAGATAAGCTAAAACTTGAATGATCTCACAATGGAGAAAGCTGAAGTTGCACAAAGGAGACAAGGAGAGCAACACAATGGATGGTAACATTAATGTGTTGTTTTTCTTGTAATCTTTGAACAAATATTGCTTTGTTGGCACTTAGTGAAAACAAAGGAGGGCCTTAAAATAAATGAAAAATTATTTATGTTAAAATAGAAGTCTGAGGACACAGAGAGACATAGGTAAAACACATTAGTTACTTTAGGTAATATCGTACATAATATATGTTGCACAAAAGTGACTATATTTTAACACTTCCTGTCTCTTTGCACACCCTAAGTGATTCTATCAATGCCAAATCTTTTTAAATGTCTCCATTGTGAGATCTATAAAGTTGATCTTGTGGTAAAACAAGACCACAATAAAAAAAAGTCCCAACTAAGTAAAATACTAACCATAACAATTATTTTAGATTTATTTTCGTCCTGGACCTCTGAATAGACTGCATGTGTGATATGTGTTTTATGTAGTTTAGCATTTTCAAGTCCTAGTCCTTAGTATTCAATCGTTGGTAATAGTTATGCAGATACAGTTTTGTTAAATGTATGGCAGGAAATTCATGGAACCGTCATTATTTACCATTGTATGCAGTGAGTGTGATGTCTCTGTGATGAAGCACAACCGCATGTCATTATTTAATCAGATGCCATTATGAGCAGCTAACATGCTCCATTGTCTGATGCTAATGTCATTTGAATCCACTGCGGCATGACACACTCATGTTGCCTTTGCAGCCTCTGAGCGCTCCTTACACATCGTGCAATTAGCTTTCAGTGCGTAGTTGTCATGGTTTTGTACACAATTACACTCAAGAACTAGCAGGATCTAACCACAGAGGATATAGAAATCACACATAAGCTGTGGAATATTTAAAATTGATAAAAGAAAGATTGATCTTCTTGTAATACATGGATAACAGATAATAGGTTGAATTGATGTTAGTGCCATAAGGACCAACCCGGACTCTGAGGAGCACAGGGACTGGCCTCCTGCTGGGACTCTGAGGAGCACAGGGACTGGCCTCCTGCTGGTGCCCAGAGTCAGGACTAAACATGAGGAAGCAACATTTTAAATATATGCAGCCAAATTATGGAAAAGTCTTCATGAAAATGTGAGACAGGCTTCTACTCTGACAATGTTCAAATCCAGGTTAAAAACAGTTCTGTTTAGCTGTGCATACAACAGAGGGATTGCATTTTTACTCTATTTAATATACTATGATTATCTATGATTTGAATGTCTTGTGTGACTGTTTCTTTCTTGTTTCGTTCAGCACTCTGAGTTGCATTATGTATGAACTGTGCTGTACAAATAAACTTGCCTTGCCTTTATGGGTATTTAACTGCATTTCTTCTAATAAGGGAGTAGCTCTCTGCCAAAGGTTGGAGATACTGTAGATGGATCAGTAGATAGAAAACTTTGTTACAGACTCAAGGCTCAGATCAACACAGACACAAAAAGAACTAGACAATAACAACCTCTTTACCAACGTTTCCACAGCAACCAGATGTGACGCACAAACGCTTAAACAATTCATACACACCGCAAAAAAGTAAGAAAAAATATCTCAAACACAATTTTAATTTGGCAATATGTATCTTAAGTCTGAGCACATTGTGATTGAGTCTTAAAACAAGATTTGTCAATGGGACAAAGCAAAATAATCTTGTTTTACAAAGATGCATAAAAAATCTCCCTTTGAACAAGAAAATAAAGCAACAGTTCTTGAATTTAGACTTAACGGCTTTTTCCCATTGGAGAATCTTGATGTACTCATTATAGGACAAAAACCACTTGATCAAAACATGTATTACCTCATGTTTACTCATTTTTTGCAGGGTATATGATCAATTAGATAACTATATACTTAGATGGGTTCAAAGTAAAAAGCCTATTTGGTGGTTTAGTTACATATAGATGACACGGGAATGAGCCTCCATGTTTGCTCCCATGTAAAGGCCGCTTTTTACGTACAACTTTGGTACGTTTGAAACATTCTTGGTCAAAGAACGAGTTGGCTTGGCAACAGTTTCTGATTTGATCTCTGTTTTTTCCTTAAGTAAAGTCGGGCTTGGAGGTGCGTCCCATTGGAAATCAGCCGAACTCAAACTCAGTCAGAGCGTTGCACACACCCAAACAGCCCATGGATCTCATTATTTTTGACAAGTTTTTCTTCCCTTTCAACTTTAAAGAGCTTCTCACCCAAAAATATATCTTTGGAGAGTCAAATACCGAGCCCCGTAGGTTTGAGGTAGCTATAAAAAGTTTGTCCTCTGATAGCGACTGTGGTCAACTTCAATGTTGTTTGCAGCCATAAATTCCCGTGTTGACACATTTTGCATGATGCACGATCAAAGAAAATGAAGCAAACTCCTCAAAGATGTCAAAAGCGTTTTATCTGAGCTTCATAGACTGAGCACCACTGACAGAGGGATTATATTTAGATCAATATTAACACATAATGTTATTTGGTATAAGGCATGACAGGTTGTGTGTGACGAGGCTGACATTGTGACTTGTGCAGAAACTTGGGAATAAAACAGTGGGAGAAGTTGTAATTGGAAACATATATCTGTGGCTTATGACCCCGTTTCAAAAGCAGACAAACAAGCTGTCAATAAATGTAATTTGGAACTCTATATTTAGATTCAGCGTATACGTTTGGGATGCGTTGGCCAAGGCTTGTTTTAGAATTATGACAATATTTTATTTTTATTTCAATTTTGTAATTAATTATGCATTTCCAGAAACCACTTTCAGTAATGAAAGCATGGTTAATGTTTATTTATGTTTGTAGCTTCCTGTTTCAAGCCAAACACTGTATGAGGACCATTTTCAAAGTCAAGAAAATTAGGTACTTAATTGTTACTCACCATGGCAACAGTCCCCATGATTAATTGTTTTCGAGCCCTTCTGGTTCTCCTGATGTTTTGAGATATTTTTCCTCAAACACAATTGATGGTTGTGTAGTATTTTTTTTTGGCCTGATGCCATTTGAAGGCAACGCAGGGCAAGTTTATTTGTATGACACATGCACGGGATAACTCAAAGTGCTGAACAGAATAAGATACAAACAAGTTATCAAAATCAAAAATTATCAAGTTATTATTAGGGCTGTCAAAATTATCGCGTTTACTCAAAATAATTAAATTTTTCATTAAAGCCCATTCCCGCCCATTTATCCATAATACCACTCAGAATGCCGCGGACACATGCGTTTGTGTGATGGCATCAGAGCAGGTAGGCTTCTGGGAATTCAAGTTTTAGACCATACACGCCACAGTACTATTCTCTGCATGTTGTGTGCGTGTCAACCTGTGCACGCAAATACACCGCGGAAGTGGCCATGTCTCCTCCTGAAACTAAACAAAACTAAACTTGCTAAATTAAAGCTGAGGTATGTAAATGTTCCCCTTTCATTAACAGCTCATTTTGGTTGTGCCCAAAAGTAAAAGGTTGTGAATCAAACAGATTTAAGTACATTTGGTATGAATGACAATGTGTCATTACATTTGATTATCTCATTTAACTTCAATTGGAGTGGATTTGAAATAGAAAAATAAAAATTCAATTAATCGTGAGTTTACTCACCATTATTACGCGATTAATCAACTAACAAATTGTAATCGTTTTATAGCCCTAGTTATTTTAATAATGATGATAATGATGCATTAGTTTTATATGCATTGGTGTTTTTTGGACACTCTGTAGCTACCACTACTGTAGCTACAGCTGCCCTGGCGTACACAGACAGAAGCAAGTCAACCAGTATGTGCCATCTCTGACCACTACCAGCCATTCACACACACACTGGACTCATTCTAGGCAATGTGGGTGAAGTGTCTTGCTTAAGGACACAATGACTCGCTCTTTACAGCCGCCCCACTGTGGCACCTGGTGTTCCCAGAGGTCTCCCATCACAGTCCGAACCAAGTCATGCCATGCTTAGCTTCAAAAGGTATGACACAATTTGGCTAATTCAATCAAATAACAAGAATCTCTAAGAAAACTTGAACTAAGCTGCCAGCCCCAAGATTGAGCATAGGTACAGTATCGTGAACGTACCACAGATGGGCCCCTCGTCGGAGCGGTCGGGACAGTCCACTTTGCTGTTGCAGATCTTGTCGGGGGTCAGACAGATGCTGGTGTCGTTGGCGCAGTGGTATTTGGGCGGTTTGCAGACGGAGGACTCGCAGGACTCCTCATCAGAGCGGTCTTCACAGTCAATGTCTCCGTCACAAACCCAGCTCTTTGTGATGCATTTACCTGCAACGAGAACGGCAAGGTCAGAGAACTATTGTGTTCATGTCCACGTCCTCTTCCGGGTGCAGGATATTTACTGATCTGCAGACCACTTGATTATAGAAACTTGTTATAATATGAATAAGGTTATTTTGCTTCAGATAAATAGTAATCCTTTTTAAATTAAATGTGGGATTCCTTTGCAACTAAACGATACACATTCTAAAGCACATACTCAGAGAATGTACTTTAAAGCTGCGGTACCTAACTATCTCTTCATAAATAACACGTTTTGTTCATCTATAAAGAAATACTAAAATGCTGTGAACAAATCAGACTACATGCTGAATATGAGTGGATGTTTTACAGAATTTCTAGTCTAGAGACAAAATGTGAAATGCATGTTGTATTTTCGTTATCATTTTCACGTACATTTACACAATAGAGATCCTTTTGAAATCGCATTTTGTAAAATATTAAAAAAATAAACCATTCCTCTCAGGCATGGAAAAAACTCCAAGGAATGACAATTCTGGTGTAATTATATTTGAAAATGCGTGGATATGTGTAATAATAGAACTACTCAACCAAGTATCTTAAACTACAAGCTCCATCACCGTATAAACAAGAGGGACCAGTTTGAGTTCAGATCAGAGGCCCGGGCAGGATACACCATTATTAGCGTAGGAGGCTCTTCTTTGTTCAAGCAATTCTAAAACCTATTTTCACAATGTCTTTTCATCTTTATTCCATGCTTTTAGTTAACAAGAAAAATATCAAAATATTTGTAAAAACGACAAGCACAAAGGATCACAGTCATTATACAAGTGAGGGAGTGAGTTGATAACTTCTGAGTTTGTACCAAGACAGTATGAACCAAATATTCCCTTTTGTCTTTTCTAACGGATTTCTTCTTCTTCTTTGAGAACCGTTGTCAGCCACACACTCTTCAGTATATTTTTGACTAAATTCTATGAAATACTGGCAGACTTCTCAGGACATATTGTGTTCAAGAGGTACAGGATTACAGATAACAGGTAATTACAGATTCTTATCAAGATTTCCTTAATTCGACAGATGGGGAAATGTCAGTGTTGCATCGCAGGTTGCAGAACAAAATAAATGAGAAGCACACAAACACAAACTAAGATAAGTGAAAATTAACTCTAGCAATTCTACATTTGAAAATTAAAACTAAATCTTTATACTTGTTGTTACTTCTTCGGTTTAATGTTGAGAATACATGATGTGGTTGTTTTGTTGAGAAAATTAGCCAAAACATTTTGCATATTTTTTTTGAAGGGCATTCAAACTGAGCTGTGAGCTGCATGTTTGATACCACTGATATAGAGAATACATAACAGTTACAAGTATAAAGGAGGATTTTCCACTTCCGGGTGGATCATCAAGACAATTGCTCCTTCCAATTGTCAATCATTCTGGTGATATGTGCTCGTCAAAAAAGAACAGAGATTTGCGTTCAAAAGGTGGAGAGGGCGATTATTTCCTAAAATTCGGGAAAATCCTCCTTTAAACCTTTAACAAACTGGAACAAGAGCCTTTTGGTTTGTAAACAGCAACGCTATTTTGAAAGTAAAAACAGTGTTTTGACAAGGCATTCAACTAGAATAATTATGGAAAAAACACAATATCCAAAACCACTCATCAAACAAATGGCAAAATATGTTTTGAGTATTATGCAAAACTAGTTATGTCAGGAGTGGTTAACAAAAATACTTCTGTAATTGCAGGTGGAAAATATGCAATTGGTATACGATTAAATTCTCATTGTCATTATATTTTGCTTCCATGAGTTAATGCGGATATAGTATTTATGGATATTGATGGCCTATTGGGTAAGTCACTCCCTTGTAATGATTATTAATTTCTGTGTGGTGTTTGTATGTACTCACTGTGTCTGTGTAGGTTTCCTCCAGGTGCTCAAGTTTCCCCTACTATTAAAAAAAATAGTACAATAGTTCTGGCATGCCCCTCTGTGTACATCAATGTGTGGAGTTAGAGGAAAAATGCCCTCACAAAGAGAAAAGCCCTTTGTGACTAAAAACGCGGTGATATTTTCAACATATCTGGCAAAATAGACAATATACAAAGAACCAGCTTTAAAGCTTTAAACAACCTTGCCCCTCTCCACGTTTGGGACTAGTCAGACTTTTATGTTGCTGTCAGAGCTGTAAGGTCCATGGAAGCTTTTCTTTTAAAAGTTCAATAAAAGCCCCCATTGAGTCGGCGCCCTGTGTTTACGCCCCTGAACCAAAGAAAACTGCTCCTGAAATGTGAATACTGCAAATGTACAGTTTAAAGGTATTTCTGACAATTTGGAAAAAGCAATAAAACTGTAACTATTTGGATTATGTTTTGAGGGAAAATCGTACACTATGACCGTTTGACTCTGTTTTGCCTTTGCACTGTGCAAACAATTTTGAAAAAGGGGTTTTTGATAGGGATGTAACAAGTCAAAAATCTCACAATTCGGTTCTCGATGCAGAGCCTACGATTCACATGGATAACGTTGGATTACTGTGTGTAAAAGAATGGATATTTTGATGGCATTTGATGAAATTTCCCCACTGTACCAGAAATATTTCCACCTTGAGATGAATAGGTTTTCTTCATTTTTCCAATTTTGGTGACACAAATTAATTGCAGGTAATTTATGGAGTAATTTTGTATGTGTTTGTTACAAAAAAGACAATTTGGTTTTAGATATTGAGGCATGTATAATATTTTTATTTCACAAAGCCTCTAATATTGCTCTCTGATGATGCCCCCGTGCTCATATCCTCTACAGTAGTTTTGTTAATTGGTTTTGTCCGATTGACTTGCAGATACTACCGGCTGTTTATTGACATGCTTTGTGCACGCACCCGGTCCTGGTGGCGCTGATCCTATGACCCTTTCTGTGTGTGTGTGTTCTTGTGTTTGTGTACATGCATCGCCTGAGCCTTTGCTTCCTTCAGCTGCTCTCTGCCCCTGAGAGCAGCAGGTTGGAGAATCTTTTGCATATATAGTAAACGTGAATATGAAATATAAACAGTGAGGCCGGCCTCAAGGCAAAATGTGATATTTTGTGCATTGCGATGCGTTGTGGTACAATGCGCCGTTACAGCCTTGGGTTTTCAAAATCATGAATTAGTCTTTTGAAATGTGAATGTGGTTGGTGGAAATGTGCCTCAGATGTATGTAGACATTCCACTAAAAACTCTCAACCAGTAGAGTAATTTCATAAGGTTGAGACTGCATTTCTTATGAATAAATGAAAAAACCTGAAATAATCAAATCAAAATAAGCATATCTTCAGCTGGATACATCCGCACCCAGCCCTATATCTTTTCATAGTTTTACCTATTTTACCTATTTGTTGTGGCTTTATATGTCTCTGTGTGTGTGTGTGTGTGTGTGTGTGTATGGGTGGGGCGGTGGGGTATATTGGGCATGTTGTATTGATTTTGACTTAGCTGTAAAGCACTTGGTGTTACATTTTATTGAATGAAAAGCGCTTTATAAATAAAGATTGATTGATTGATATGTGTAAGAGACCCAATCAATACCATTTAGAGTTTAATGTATGGTTACATAAAAAAGATTGCTGCACAATATTTAGCATCTTTTCCATGTGTAGTCCTAAACTCACAATTCAAGCTAAATCTCCACCTCTGGAACTTTTATGTACTTCTGAAGTTTTTTGTTTACTGTACTATATATCACTATGTAGCACTTTGAGGTTTCCTGAAAACGTGCAATATAAATAACATGTATATTTATTTATCATTATAATTATGTGATTGGTTCTAATCAGTTTGCATTGTAATGTGCTGGACTAATCTCTTTTTTTTGTTTTTCTATTTGTCCTTGTGAGCAAAGACAGCGTAGCCTTGAGCCAGATTAGCAGCTTGACCACCTTCCACCGCAGCCCAGCGCCTCTCTGCATTTGTCATGTATGTGATTTGCTAATTACAGCGGCGTAACACAAACAAAAAGACCAAACTTACTCAAGGGTCTATTTGTGCAACTGCGGTCTACTGGGGACACTTAATCTTCTCCAGCTCAGGAAACATTCAAAAAGCAGCCGATCGTGCTTGAGAGGCAGAACGCTTTAGCCGATTATAGAGCAGCATTAGTCACTTCTTTCTTTAAGTAGTCGTTCAAAATGCATCCTGTATTCAAATGTGTTGGGCGGCCTCACAGAATAGGACACGGCTAAAAGGGCTCTCTTCATGAAAGTGGAAGTTTTTAAGTTGTGTGTGCTAGGTATGGGAGAAAAGCTTACACTGCAAAACCTTACAATGCAAGAAGGAATGAATAATAATGAGTCAACGATTGCGCAAACTTGGAAAAATCTATCTTAACTTGAGCACATTCTGACTGCGCAATGGGGCAATGAGCAAAATGATTTTGTTTTTAAAAGATACAAGAAATGTCTCCCTTGGAATGAGAAGATGAATCAACAGTTCTCGAAATAAGACTGAATGGTTTTGTCCCATTGGTAAATCTTGTTTTAACACAGACTGTGCTTAAATTATGATGAAAAACACTTAATTCAAGCTATTATTACCTCATATTTTGTCATTGTTTGCAGTGTAGTACATACGCTAATACAAATTATACACAAACCGAAAGCTGCAATGAAAACTATTAATTTTCATCATAATTTGAAATATATCAATAAATAACCAATCTAAGTAAGTAGTTAAATGTGTTTAATTTGTTTTAAATAGTTGCCAAAAGTGTTGCTTTTCACCAGATGCTTCCTCAAATTCAAAGCAAATCGTCATCATTAAGAGTTATTTTAGTCAGTTGAGAAATAAATGGCTGTAACAACAAGCTGTGACAAATGTGATATATTTCTATCCGAAAATCAAACTATTTCAGTTATTGCAAGATATATTTAAATACAATAGTGCACAAAGAGACAAATTGATATGTTTGTGTCCGTCTCGAATGAGTCACTTTACACATTAAAGTGTCAACACATCAAATTGTATTTAAAAACAAAGGACATGAAA